TGCGGCCCAGGATGCGATTGGCCTTCGGGGCTGCAGTTGTGCATTGGTGGCTCACGTCTAGCTTTTCGTCCACCAGTACCCCAGGTCTTTTCCCACAGGGCTGCTCTCTAGCATGTCTTCTCACAGCCTGTATTGATACCGGCAGTTGCCCTGGCCTAGGTGCAGGACTTTGCACTTGAATCTCATGAGGTTCACCTGGGCTTACCTCTCAGCTTGTCCAGGTCCTTCCGGATGGCCTTCTGTCCCTCTGGCATATCAACTGCGCCACCCAGCTTGGTGTCCTCAACAAACTTGCTGAGGGTGCGCTCAATGCTGCTGTTATCATGTGTATTTGGGAAAATACTATGCTTTTTGAAGGTGCACCTGCTATGTTCCAAAAGAGAAATTGTATGAGCTGTAAAAATATTCAGGAAACAGTTTGTTTAATACTTCTGCATGAAAAGTTCACCCTAAAAGGGTACATTTTTGAGGGGAGTAGGTTTTTCTTTCTTCCTTGGCTGCCATGGTGGCTAACAGCCAAGCTGCTTGTCAGACGCTTGCTCCCTTCTTTTTCAGTGGCACAGGGGAGAAAAAGGGAAGAACAGGAAGGAGAGCTGATGAGTTAAGGATATGGTCATTGCTTACCGCTTGCTGTCACGGGCAAAACAGACTCTGCTTGGGGAAAATTAACTTCAATTATTGCTTATTAAAATAAATTGTTAATTCAGGTAGTGGAAACAAAAAGACGTGTTACAACACCACCTTTCCTCCCCACTTTCCCAGGCTCAGCTTCACTCCAGATTCCCTTGTGACCACCACCCGCCCTGTGGTGCAAGGGGAATAGTCTGTACCTAGTGGTTTCTCTTTGCCATTGATCTTCCCTCTGCTGTTTTCTTATTCTTTGTTCCCTTTTTCTCTCTCCATCTACTACTTTTTGCTCTTTCTTATATATAAGTTTTCTCATAGGTTCTGCCCAAATGGCTGCTGGGCTTAGCTGTGCCCTGCAGTGGGTCTGTTGGCACTGTCTGTGTCTGGCAGAGGGCATCCCCTGGCCTCTCCTCAAGGATGCTGCCAAGACCTTGCCACGGACACTCAATATCTAGCCATATACTTTTCACATACAGTTTTTCATTTTACAAAGTAGCATATGGGGTCAGCAAAAAGGGGCTAGTCAAAGCAGTAGTTAAGAATTCATGAAAGGCTTTGGCATTCTTACTGGCAGTTGTCTGAAGACACTGTTTCCATCTGCAGTAGCACAGAAAATAACCAGGAAAAAGTGTTGAAGAAAACAGTGTTGTTTTGTTGCCATGAAAAATTTTATCAAGGTTTACCACAGTACAATGGGTAAGGTAAAGGGAGAGTTGTTATTTACCAAATCTCACAGTATTAGAACTAGACAGGGCTTGCTGAAACTTCTTAGAAAGGAAAACCAGATACTGGGCAGCTTTTGCGCAGCAGTTTGTGAACATTAGGAACTGCTGTGACAGGAGGTGGTGGAGGTGGACAGTGTCACTGGGTTCAAAAAGGGCCTTACACAACTTCCCAGCTAGCAGAACAAAGGCCAGAAACAGAGTAGGCAGGGATGTATCTCTGAGATCCCTAATCCAATGATAGCAGCTCCTGGGTGAGCAGGAATGAGCTGCAGGTAATGGCCAGGCTCGTGTGCTGCCCCACAATAGGAGTGGAGTTTTTCCCACGCTTGGAGACTGAGGACTGGGTAGAGTAGGTTGTCTGACCTGGCAAGGCAGTTCATAATAGCTCGTGAGAGGTTTCCTGAAACCCAGAAAAAGTTTGCTAGAATTGATGCGGAAATACCAATTGTAGGAATTCAAGGGTGACCCATACAGTTTCTGTTAGTTGCTTCCCCCCTGCTCTGTTTCTCTACCATCTGGAGTTTCAGGTGATTGTGGTCCTGATTATTTTGAAGAGACCTTTGATCACAGTTATGACTCGGTATTGCTGCACCTGATGATCTGGTGCTGAGAAGCAAAGGTCAGTGGTTGAGCCAGCTCTTTGAAGATCAAAATCATTTAATTTGCACAGAAATAACTTTATTGGAAGACCATGAGCAGCAGACCTAAAAAACTTGTAATGATTTGTTTCTGTTATCCAGTGTTACATAGTGTTGTTTATAAAGACTGTCAGCTTGGTCATAGCTTCAAGTAAAGAGTGGAAGTAATTCCGTGTCTTACTAAAGCCAGCTTACACAGTGTTTTTTTCTCTTCCTGAGTTGTTCTGTTCCTGTCTAGAATTCTTGACTAAGTACCTGTTTTGAGTGATTGAATAGAAATAATAGAAAGTTCTGGCTCGGTTTAAAAAAAAAAAGGTATTCCTGTCTTGCAAGTAACAGGTTTTCAAGGTTCATTACCCACTTGTAGGATGTTTCTTTGTAAAATTTTTGGTCTTGTACCTAATGAACCAAAGTAAGTGTCTCTACTGTGTGTATATACATAAACTCATTTCATTAGGTAGCGTTTCATTATGTCTTAAAGCTTTCTAGGAGATGCCGTCACTTGCCTACCAATCGTAGGTGCTCCTTTGTTATAATAATTATAAGTGATACTACTACAAAGCAGGAAGATCTGCCAAAACCAGAAGCTATTGTCTATTTTTAATGATTTTTTTTTTGCTTATCAGCCCCTTCTGCATCAATTTTGAGGGTTTTGTGTTGTTTGGTTTGTTGTTGGTTTTGGTTTTTTGTGTTTGCTGGGGGTTTTTTTGAGTCAATAAAAGCCTGGTGTGTGGTGACTTTAACTGGTATTTTGGGTTTTATATCAAATTTCTTGCACGGTTCTCTCTTACTCTTTCTACTGAGGATCATCTTCCCATAAAGCATTGTCTACAGGGAGGTGTCATATACTTAATAAATACATGTGCTCTGTTGGAGGAACTGTCTTGAAACTGTTTTACCCTTTGGAGGCCCAAAATTTATCTAATCTTTTGTTGTAAGAGCCTGCATTTTCAGTGCTGCGCTCCTTTTAGTCATTTTTCAGCTTACTGGTGGCCTTGAGTTGTCAAAGCCAATTCTGAAATATTGGAAATTAAAATTATTTGGATTAGATTTTGTTACGGAATCTTGCGAGAGTCTTGGGTTTCGGGTTTCATTTGTTTGGGTTTTTTTTTTCCCCTAAAAATCTAGTTAGCTTCGAGGTTTTGTAGATGGACTAGAGAGACATGATTAGCTCTTCATAACTTGATGTGTTGTGAACTTTGAGGTAGTTTTTTCTGCAGTGACTTTGTCTAGTGATCTGTTCTAAACTTTTTTTATCATAGTGCCTATGAATATCAACTGAAGATGGAGAAACTGTTGTGAAAGGGAACACACAAACACTTAAGAAAGGGAGATGTACTTTATATGACTGACAGAACATAACAGGTGAAATCTGTCTGTTGGACAGGAGTCGGAAGCATTGCGAGCTTAGGTATTTGGGGCAGCTGGATAGGCCAGATAGTCCCTGTAGAATATTTCTGTAGTGTTTTTAATTGACTTTTCCTTCTGGAATACCACTGCATCAGAAAGGTTGATTAATATTAACTAGTCCTTCCTTTGAATTTCTTAGGGTTAAGGAAGACTTTGAAAGGAACATATTCAGGAGAAAAGGAGCATCCTTGACAAGGGGCATATTTATAAATATTTTTTTCCCCTTATGCTGACTTACAATGCTACTTTTTCTCTCTTTACTCTTCTTCTAAAAATAGAAAATAGTTGGGGAAAAACATTCAAAATTTGTCAAAAACAGTCAGAAACAAATAGCTGAATTTGATTATTACAATAAGCTATTTCTATGTAGTATTGGTATGAGGAAGAGTTACCCTAACAATTTTTCTGAATTCTTATTCGAGTGTTGGCATTTGGACTATGCAGCCAACGCTTCACGTCTGTATCTGAGGCTGTGGTAAAATATATATAGTTGATTGATGCTTTAGAAATAATATGCAGTAATATGAAAATGACACATAAAAAGGGCTAGGGTAAGATTGCTTGTAGAGCTGAATGTTGAGCTACATGTTGAAACTCAAAATTGGATTCTCAAAGCTCAGGCACACAAAACAGCCCAAGTTTGAAACAGAGAACCAAGAAGAAAGGTATGATGTTAAATATATTTAGGGGATTTATCTATAATTTAAATGTTGGGGTTTTTTAAAACAAAAAACTTAAAGTGCAAGGAGTACTTCAGGTGCTAATTAGTTTCTTTATTTTTCAATTATCTTAAATATTGATTTTTTTTTTTAAATGGTTTTCTATTTCAGTACTTCATAAGTTCAACAGCCAACTGTAAGCCTTGGATTTAACATTTGTCAGTGTCTTAACAAGCAGACTCCCACCCCAGTTTAGGTCTTTCCATTTCTCTAGTTACATTATTACATGTGGGGGCGGCAGGGGGGAATATGTATAAACAAACTGTTAGAACCTTTGATGACATAAGTACCATATGCTTAAAAGTATATTGGGCTGGAGCTCTCCTCCTACTTACTGGGGTACTATTTTCTCATTCAGTAACCTGGTCTGATCTCATAGCTGACCCTGCTCTGAGCAGGAGGTTGGTCTAGAGACCCGAGATCCCTAGTGGCCTGAATTATCCTGTAAGCCTATGATTTAATTATGTCAATTTTGACTTCAGTATCAGCCTTGTTCGTTTACAGTATGTAAATGTGAATATATGAATAATAATAATATCAAGTGCATTGCTTTGGTTGCCTTGAAAGTAAACAGTGCAATATATATGGATACATACATGATTTTTAGGAAAGCAGTCACATGTTTCTGTTTAAGATAGATTCTTTTAAATTTTACTATTTCTGAATGAGTTTGGGGGTTTTTTTATTTAAAAAAAATTTGTTACAAGTCAAATACATAAAACCATTTGCTGGCAGCTGACACTGTTAAAGGAATAAGATGTCAGAAATTTTACAAAATAAAGTAACTGCTTAAAAATTGTGCCATAGGTACAAACTTTTGCTAACAAAATTTCTGAGTTCATCCTTAAACAACTGCTATCATTACTACTTGTTCTTTGCAGGGGATGGAGTGCTAGATCTCTCTACAAAGAAAAGCGCAAGGTTGGAAGAACCAAAATATGATCCATTGTGTTCTGAAAACTCAGTGTCTGGGTAAGCAACATTTAGGACTCTCTCCGGCTTCTGTAAAAGACAATCCAGGTTTCTCTTCTCTGAAGTCAGGTTTTATGTTCATAACATTTGTATATACTGACACACACACGTGGTTCCTGTTTTTCTTTCAGAAGAGTTTTTGTCACTCATAAGTGTGTGTCTATGTATATATCATATGTTTCATTTGTCTTTTTTCTTTTTTTCTGTTTAAAGAAAAGTTATCAGAACAATCACCAAACTTTAGTTCATGTTACTAAAAATTAACTGAAAATTGATTACATAACACGTGAAAAGTAATAGGATAGCAAAAGAAAATATATTCTTTCAGAGTTTATTTAGGAAACTTCAATTTTGGACCATGTTAATATTTAGATTTAAAATATTCTTCAACTAACATGAACAAGTTAAATGACTATTATCTACAATATTCCTTAATAGAGAGAGAGCAAGCGCACAAGAGAGAGAGCTCTTAATCATCATACTTATACTTACATCATGGTTCTGACTATGGTGTGTGGTGGCAAACGGTTAAATTTCTTTATTCAGCATCAGCAGAAAAAACTTTATTGCATCTGCTGAGAGCTACCACAAAACTAGTGAAACGCATTGTTTTATTGGATTTTGTTATGATCTTGGCATCTTCCCATCCACTAGCCATAGCAGGACCCTTTTTGTCACCTGTACGTCTTACCAAATAACTTAGTACAAATAGGGCTACAATAGCAGTATTTGTTGAATGATGTAAAATTCATTTTATTAATTTGCTGATATGAAGAAGTTTTAAAATGAATATGACTTTGTAATTAGAGAGCCGTAAATAGTGGCTAGAAGTTTTTAAAACTGTGTTTTATTTTGCCAAAATGGACTTGATTGTTAACTACAGCACTTTATCTTACTGTTGTAGAAAGCCTAGTTTTGTGTAAGTCTGGGATGTTTGTGTGTAGTTATGTACTTATTGCTGCAAATTTTCTATGAGGGGGTTGACTCTTTTATTACTTGTTTAGCGGTAACGTCACGTTTCTACTAACAAAAACTCCTTCAGGATTTGGGGATTTAACGGAACGTTAATTGTATAATTAAAATTATAACAGTGTTGCTCTGCAAGCATGTGAACAAGGGAATATAGCAAGCACATGAGAATATTATCAAATACTGAGCTAGGATATAAAGTTCTTGGAAGGGCTGCTGTAGAAGCCACCGTATGATTTTTGACACACTGTCCTACCAGAACTGTAACATTTTGCTAGGATAATCATTTGACTACCACATCTCAAAGGCTTAAAAGTATCAGAAGCAGTGATGTTACCGAAGCAAGGAGTATAATAAAGGAGTGGACCCTTCCCTTCCATAGCTGTGTGAGAGTCTCTCATACATCAGTTTACCATCGTTTCATTCCATCCATCCAGGAGACTACACAGACACAGAGAGGACTATGTGGAAAGAAGTGCTGAGTTTGCAGATGGTTTGCTCTCAAAAGCTTTGAAAGACATTCAGTCTGGAGCACTGGACATAAATAAAGCAGGCATACTTTATGGCATACCTCAAAAAACTTTACTTCTCCACTTAGAAGCCTTACCAGCAGGAAAGCCTGCACCTTTTAAAAACAAAACTCGCGATTTCAATGATAGTTATTCATTTAAAGACAGTAAAGAAACTTGTGCAGTCCTACAAAAAGTAGCCTTGTGGGCAAGAGCTCAAGCAGAGCGCACAGAAAAAAGTAAACTCAGTCTACTTGAAACCTCAGAATTAAAATTCCCAACAGCTTCCAGTTACCTCCACCAGTTAACTCTACAGAGAATGGTCACTCAATTTAAAGAAAAAAGTGAAAATCTACAATATGAAACTTCAAGTCCTACTGTACAATTAAAAATTCCTCAGCTAAGAATAAGTTCTGTGTCCAAACCACAGTCTGATACTGCTGGTCTTCTGGATGTTATGTACCACGTTTCTAAAACCTCCTCAGTCTTAGAAGGATCAGCTCTTCAAAAATTGAAAAATATACTCCCTAAACAGAACAAAATTGAATGTTCTGGACCTGTAACTCACTCAAGTGTTGACTCCTACTTTCTGCATGGGGACCTCTCTCCTTTGTGTCTTAATGCTAAGAATGGGACAGTAGATGGAACCTCAGAAAATACAGAAGATAGTTTGGATCGTAAAGATAATAAGCAACCAAGAAAAAAACGTGGCCGCTATCGGCAGTATGATCATGAAATAATGGAAGAAGCAATTGCAATGGTAATGAGTGGGAAAATGAGTGTTTCCAAAGCACAAGGAATTTATGGGGTACCTCACAGCACTTTAGAATATAAAGTAAAAGAAAGATCTGGAACATTGAAGACTCCGCCGAAGAAGAAACTCCGATTACCAGATACTGGCTTATTTAATATGACAGATTCAGGGACTGGCAGCTGCAAAAAATAGTAGCAAGCCTGTGTAGAATAATTGCTAGCGAATTGTTTTGTGTGTGTGTATGTATGTCTGTATACACACACAGTGTGAGAAATACATATGCTCACTCTGACAGAAGACGTGAAATTATACAGTTCAAATACCACATACATGCCTTTTGAAAAATAGTTTTATTCAGGGTTTTCACTGTGGACAGAATTATAGAGTTGCTCACTTAATTCTGATAGTGTGTATTTAATATAATCCTTGTATAAATAGGTGAAAAGATTCAGGTTTTATTTAGTAGTCAATAGCATAAAGATGTTTTGGGAAAACAAGTATTTGTCATGTGAAGCATAATTTTTAATTGGTGAAGAACCACTCTACCCGTTCAATAATCCATCTTATTATGGAAATACACAAGCAAGGGTTAGCAGACTTTTATACTTCACAGAATACTTGCAATAAATTGTAAGTAACTCAGATTACACAGATGAAGGGATTTTTTTAAAAAGCTAGTTCCTTACAAGGAAGTGGGTTTGTGAAGTATTAGTAGGATATAGTACATTCTGTGAAATAAAATAACTTCATCGTTACTTAAATATCCAATACAAGTAAGAAAAACATTTCATTACTAAAAATGTGTGTTTAGCAGGCATAAACTGCATTTTTTATCATTTTAAGAAAATTTTGTTGTTGGTTTAGAAAGAAATTGGTGTTTACAAAGTGTACACTTCTGAAACCTGAGAAATTACTGTAGTTATAGAATTATTAAATATTAAATAAGATGGAATACTAAGAGGATAAAATAATTTAAACTTTAACATAATTTTCCTTTTTAGTTTGACAAATAAGGTAACTTGTAAGGTTTAAAAAGAAAGTTGGAATGCAACTTAGAGCATGTTCATAATGTGCACAGAATGAGCTTGAGAATGGTTTGGGTTTGTTTGGTTTTTTGTTTAAACGTGCTGGTTAGTTGATGTTATGACTACTTAAAATTTATTTAAGGATTGTGTCACACTCCTATTGAAAAACCTCACTGTAACTGTAATGTATTTGCTGCTGTGACATTTCGAAACATTTTCAGTTTATCAAAATGAATACCAAGTTACATTATCATTTTGCTAATAACCAAATTTGCAGTTCAGGGTCTTGATAGAAATACAAATATTAAACAGTGAAGCTGTTTTGAACTTTCAATAATATAAATTCTTTATAAATTTGGTAGTTAGAAGTTAGGCAGTTCACTTTAAATATGTAACTTTTAATAGAATTTAAGGGAGACCAATTACCTTCATATTGCAGTTTTTACAGGAATTTCGAAGTATTCCCATTGGACTTTATATCATACTTTTTTTTTTATAATATCACAAAGTATATGTCTACATATGAAGAATGGGGGCTTGCTTTATACATTCAATACTGAACATCAATGCCCTTTTCCTCTCAAAATGTAATTTTTTTCTGTATTCATCTAATTTGGCGTACAAAAAAAAACTTCAACTTTTATGCGTTTGGTGCACATGCATACATTTTTTCCCTACTTAAATTTGCATGTCTACAGGTTAATTATATAAATGAAATGGGCCGTTAGTTACATGTGGACCACATCAGGTAATTGATTTATAGATAAACTTGCCATTAAATTCAGTGGAGAGCATACTGCAATACTAATGGCAAAATATAGCCCATATTTGTTAATCCTACTGAAAAATAACAACTTCCATTTTAAAACAGAATAATCCTTTGAAACTGCACCACCAGTATCTCAGTTCTTTGGTCTCTCAGATCTATACTGAATCTTCTTCAGTGATTAAGGTTTACTTGCATATTACAGAATGAATCCTTTTTTTAAGCAGAACCATACCTGATAACAAGAAGGTCACAAAACAGCAGATGTCAGGGTCATCTTTCATTTTAAAAGAATTAAGCCATATTTTGTGAGGGCCAGAAGGATTAATTTATGAATATATCCCCACTGAAAAAGGAAGCTGAAAAAACCATAAATGTTTCATGATCTGTCTTTGTACAGTTTTACTTGCAAAAATTTTGGGCTTCAATACATTGCCTAATATTTGTACCATACTGATGTTTTCTACTCCTCAGACAATGTTATGAATTTGAGTCAGAAGTTTATATTGAAGGCAAGTTACAGTACTCTTTTTATATCATTTAAAAGGTGACCTGACCAAAAAATTAACAGGATTCATAAAATCAGGGATCATTTTACTATTGACTTAACAGTACTCAGTAGTTTTGTATGTAATATTATAATTAATTTTCAACATTTTAGTACTTGTATTTATTTTTTGGTCAGAAATAGTATATTAAAATATTTTTTGATAGTTTATAGATGATACTCAACCTGTAAGTGTTTAAAGGAACAGAATTATTTGTTTCTAATTATTAGGCTAACCTTTGATTACACAACTAAGGAAAGGCAGGGAAATGTGTAGATTCTCCTTCCCCAACCCCTATGTATTCCATTAAATGTCATTTAAATTACACATTTTGAACTGTTTTATAAATTCAGTTACCAGTCACTACTTAGTAATTGACAATTTCTGAAAATTCCTGTTTCAGCAGAATTTTAAATGAAGGCGAAAGCAAGCCCTACATGCTTTCTACTTATTTGAATGTTTCTCAAGTATTTTATATTAAAAAACAGTGCCTCTGTTTTTAGAACTACTGCTCAGTAAAGCTGTTTAAACCATTTCTGGTAGCTAATGACAATTTTATATTAAATTGTATATTAACTTTAGTGAGACTGATTTTTTTAGTTGTTTACAGTACAAATACTTGTATTTGTTTTTTAATTGCAGTATTTCCATTGTCGCAGTAATTTAGTAAAACTCTGTGGCTGCCTTGATTTTTGACAGATTTTTGTTAACAACTGATTTTTAGGCAATTAGTTATATTTATGCATAAATCAATTGCACTATAATTCATGAATTATTTATTACAATATTTTCTAATGAATTCCATGTATTTGTCTTGTGTTGTAAATGTACTGTAATTCTGTTTCTTCTTTGTGTTGTTATATTCCTAAATCTGATTGTATGGATTTAATTGTTTAGTTAACGTGTTTCTACGTTGTAATTTGTAGTAAAGCACTTCAATGCTTTTGCACATAAATTTACAACACTGATGTGTGATTGATTTGCTCATTCAGTAAAAAAAAAGAAAGAAACAAAAACCTGTACACTGACTCATTTGACTTACTCCTGAGGCACAAGTTTATTAGCAGTGGCATAAGATCAACGACTGCACAAATTAAGCATGTAATTATTACTATGAGAATTTTATACATCAGAAATAGCTTTAAGAAAGGATAATTTCTCAGAATTGATACATTAGTTATAAATGAGGAGAAATTGAGAAAACTAATTTTATAACAGTTACATCCTTTAATTTGCAGCTAAAAATTATCTATTATATATTACAGATAATATATAGCTTTTTTTTGAGGAATTTATTTACTTAGAGTCAGAAAACGAACATTTCTCTTAGGACAAATTTATATTTCTATAATAGTTCTATGCTGATCATATGAGTACTTGAAAGTATGTTTTGTTCCCAGTTTTGTTCCTGTTCTCAGTCAGCAAACAAGTTGCTAGATTCTTCTATCTTGTCTGTGGCTGAGACAACAGAGGCTAGAGCACTAGGGAACGACATCTTTTGGGAGTCCTCTGATAGACCCTTTCCTCATAGTTTTTTGATTTGTGGAGGAAGCAAGAGTTTACTTTTTTATACATAAAATAATACACTGAAGGGCTAGCACTTAACCTTATCACATCGCTGCCTTTGTGCCAATTTTGGACTCCAGTCAGCCCCCCCTCCACTGAGTGCATATTGGTCCTCTCGCCTCTCAACCCATCCACTTCCTACGCACTCTTTATAGCCGTCTTCTTGGGTATGATTTGTAGGAAGTGTAAGACTATTCTGTGAAGGAAGTAAGCAGTTGTGAAAGTGGTAGCTCTTCTATGGAATTGTGTTTAGGCCTTTTATCTGGAGTATAATCTAAACTATGTGACAACACAAATTTGAAGGGCTATAGGAAGAAATTACAGGAAACTGAAATATAATTCCATAATTATATTGAGAAGCTACTAAAAATTAGTTTGTTTAAATACATGGACATCTCTACAGAGGGAGACACTTTAAAGAGTATTTTTTGCTTTAATGCATTGATTTGTTTGCATAGTAAGCTCTGTTCCCAAGTAAGGGGGTTGATGTGTTTTCACAGCTTGGAAGGTTATTTAGAGTGTGGTACTGTTGCAGTAGAATAGATGAAGTTAAGTTATCTCATCTTTAGACACTAACACACGCTAAGGGACAGCAGATTATAGATGTTACACACGGGTAGATAACCAGGAAAGACATTGTATTAGAAGACTATCCAGTATGTCTGTGATAACCAGAATATTACTTTATACAACAGGTGGATCTTCACATAGCAATTTCAAAGTAGTTTTGAGGCCATTGGAAATTTTAGTTATTGACTTTCAGAAGGCTTTAGGGCTCTGGAAGTTTTTTCCACCCAGTGGAAGCCGCTATTTTAAGTAGCAGTTGTGGATACAGGTCCTCTACAATTAAAGCTCTGCAGCGGAACTCCGTTAGACATACCTTGCAAGTCCACACAGACAGAAGGAGACCTGTCTGGAGATTCAGTCTACAAAGACTGTGCTGGAGCTGTCTTTTAGGAAATTAGTACTTAACAAATTTACTGTGATTTACAAACAAATTATTGAAGACCTAGTGCCGTGCTCATTTGTTTTTCTATCTGGCCTTTCAAAACATTATTTCGTTGAAGTCTTGGTGGTGGGGAGGGCAGTTAGTTTTTATCTATAATTGTATTACTAGAATAAGCTGTGTTTTCACAAGCGTAGTGATATGTTTCAACACCTTGTGACTCCTGAGTTTGTTGGACTGAGTAACACTCAGACTCTTCTCAGTGAAGTGGCATTTCAAAAACAGTTAACTCCTGACAATGACATGCCCTTGAGTAATCCTGTTTTTACTTCAGATTGCAAGTGCGAAGAGGGATTTTTCTTATTTTTAAGACTTCAGTTATTTCAGTTTAAACGTAATCGTGATTTCAACTAGTACCATCACAATTATCTTATGCTTTTATGAGTTAGTATCACCTAGATGCTTGATTTTGAATATATACCATTTCATACTAAATATTACAGCATAAGGAAAAAACATGAGGAATTATTAAGCAGAGTTGGCTGTTCTTAAGGTCTAAACTTCAAATTTTGTCCGGGACAATAAAACTACAAATTTGTATGTATAACTTCCAGTAAGAATCCTGAAGCTAAAAGTTATTATTGATGCTAATAACATTGGGTACAAGCTAATTAATGAATAGGTTACTTATATATAAATACAACATATTAAATTTTAAATGTGTTTGTTCCTTGTTCAATACAGTTGTAAACCAAATTAAAATTAATTTTTTCCAAAGTATAGGCTTAAATGCAAAAAATTACAGGAGATAATAGTAGGGCAAAAAGTTAGTGTCATGTTCAGAGTTTGGTGATATGTTTAAACAATACATACTTTTCTAAAACAGAATTCTTCCAATATTTTCTACTCATGCAATTGGTTTCGGTAAAACATTTGAATTAGGTGTTAACTATCTGTTGATAGTTGCTATCCAGCATAAGGATTTTGTATTTAATTGAAGAAATATCTGTATTAATTTCTACCATGGAAAATTTTCAGCTTTTCAATATAAGTGATTGATTAGGTAAGTAGTGACCTTAGTTTTAATAATTTATAAGAAATTAATTAAATAGTTAAGGTAGTATTTTATAAGTGATTTTATTTTCAGTTAAATATCTTTGAGAACAACTGCCTAGAAGTCTTACTTAGATATAGGCCTACCCCACATTTGAGCTTTAAAAGTTATTAACCTTTATCACAGAAGTTATTTATTCCAGTGGTGATCTCTGTTTCTGTTTAATGAAGGAGAGTGTGTGTGTGTGTGCGCGTGCACACGTGTGTGTGTATGTGTGTGTAATACAATGCAGTGAAGAGCTTGTCATGCACCGCTGCAATTTACTTGAAAACTAGAAGGGAAACTTCTCTTTGCAAAGAACAGTAACAGTAGCAAGTGGCTATTTTTTCCATTTTCTTTTAGCCTATTAAGTGTTCTTTAAAAATAAATACATAAATAAAAATGTCCTTAGAAGGATCCTGAAGAGCATTTGATATACTTTGGAATATGAATATCTTAGAGTGGGATTCAGGAGAGATAGATCCATTCTTGCCTCTGACACAACCTTGAATTGTGACCTTGGGCAAGTCATTTACCCTGTCTGTGCCTCAGTGTGAATTGTGAGTAATAATCCTAAGCTCCCCAGGTTCTTGGTGAGGTTTTCCTTTGTTAATGAATAAGGTAGTTTGAAATATTGGAAAGTTAACATTATTGTAATTACATTTAGATACAAGAAGCTACGTTTCAAACTATTCTTTTTGTCCCTTAATTTCTTCCTGATTATTTTTCTTATGGTAGGACTATCTCTGCTATATATATGATGCACATCGTTGCTAGTGACACTTACGAGTATGATTGAATAGTGCAAATAGAACCATTTTGCAAGGTTTTTAGGCTTGATTTAACCATTATAACAAACATTAGATGTGGTGTTTTACTGTAATTTATATTTTGTTTTGATTTGTTTTCATTTTCAGTTCAAGCTCAACAGCTGATGCAAATTCAGAGGAAACAGCTAATTTGGAAAAAGGAAAATCAACATTAAACAAAGTTTTGGAGTCTTTTTGTTCATATCACTGGCAACAGACTTTGGCTATGTTAAAATTTTTAATGCAAGATGAAAATGTTCCTATAGTTTGCAGTTGCAAGCAAACACATTTGGTCCACTCCGAAACACCCAGTTCCCTTACTGAAGAGGATGGCCACGTTTCATTTTGCAATTGCAATGGACATACGCTGACAAAAAGGTGCTGTTTACAAAATCAAAGACCAAACACTTGTTTGCCACCTCTGTCTGTTTGTGTGAAAGATTTCGATTCTTTGTCATGCCAAGCTGTAGCGATTGGATGTATTAAGACAATGGTGAACAAAGCATGTAGTTCTCATAAGCATTGTGCTGAACAATTCCAAAATTCTAACAAGCATTCTGTGAAAGCAGCAACATGTACATATTCAACTAAGGACCATCATCTCTGGAACAGCATTAAAAATCCAGATAGATCTCGCAGCCCATCACCACCTCCACTATCACCCATACAGAGTAAAGAATTTGAATCATCAGAAGGATCGGTTATAGATTTTGCAACTTTAGACAATAACAAGCTTGAAATATCCATCAACCAGCCTCCATCCCTCTTGCCAGCTGAAGGAAGTGAAGGAGAATTTGAATATGAAGGTAAAACATGCAGAGGAAAAGAGACTGAATATTCATATGGAACATTACTATCAACAGACCAAGAAAGCAACAATTATTATATAAATTCTGAGAAGGCTGAGAAAGGTGAACATTCTGCCATTTTTCAAGATTTAATGGACCGTATTAATGAAAAGTTAAAATCAATAGACACTACAGATATAGCAACAAATCTTGTAAAACTTTCTAGCAGTGACAGGGCACCAGAAAATGATGTCAAATTAGGAGAATTCATAAGCTCTCTTTTGCATAATGCGAAGGCAAGTGATTACAGCTTTATGGAATTACTTCGCCAACATGATAAAGAAGTGGAAAATAAAATTATCCAAACAAGATTTCGCAAGCGTCAGGAAACTTTATTTGCAATGTATAATTCTCCTGATTCACCATTCATTCGACGACAGTCTTTGCAAATCAAGAGGGAGCTTGCAAGCCTTGATGAAACCCTTGTAAGAAAGAAGTCAATTTCTGAGAGAAATGCAAAGAAAGCTACAAAAAAAATTGATAAAATATATCCAAATAAAAGACACGGTTTTACTGTGATAGAAGATGAGTCTTTGCAACATCTTGAAAGTAATCCATGCATGAATTGCCAAACCAAACCAATGTGCTTTCCAGTACACCAAACAGAGTCTTTCAAACTACCTCTTACTAATTTTCAAACCAGCTCTGGCTTTCTAGTTCTTTCAGAAGACAGTGCTGTTGCAGCCAGCCAGGCAAAACTCACAAAAACACAAGGAGATTGTGCAGCCTTAAAAGAGACTGATCAGATTCCTCTAAAGGATGAGAGTAATGGAATATTGGTCAGAACTAAACGTAACATTGTGCCTCCTGGATGGTACTCTGTGTATGTAACGAACAATATTGTGTTTAGAAAGTCACCCAATGCAAAAAAGTCTTTAGAAAGTTTGGAAAAAATGAAAATAAATAAAGACATTCATGCTGACAGATGCAGTGATATAAATATAAGCAAAATTGTGAGAGACACAAATCTGCAAGTTGTTGTAGAGCGTTTAGAAGATACAATAAACTTAGCCAGAAAGACTAATAACCCGTTGCTGGATAGTTACAAAATAAGCCAAAAATTCAAAGATAATGCTTATGAACAGGTTATGAACCCAGCTGCTAGAAGAGGCTTACCTTTCACTCTGAGTGAAATGAGATGCACAGGACAAAGCTTCCTTCCACATTCACGTGTGCCAAGCAGCGGCAAAATCAAAAATGTGTGTGTGACAACAAACAAACAAGAAATGGTTATAGATCAGGAAATTAATGACAGCCTTTTGAAATCTCTGACTTTTGATTCATCCAGTTCAACTTCCAATAATGGGGACTTGCATATATCTTCTGAACCTGGGGAGATCTCATCTCCCTTAAACTACTCTAGTCCTATTAAGCTTATGTTTGTCTCAGAGGTTAATAGTAGTGAAGGAGTCAAATATACTTTGACATCTGCAGCTGCATCTTCTAAGGGAAGCAGAGATATTTGTTTGTTTCAGGGGCCCGCAAACACTTTGTTAGACAAAGAGGCCACAGAGGATCTTTCTCATGCAGTCTCTGTCAAGGATTGTGATTACAGTGAAAACAATACCAAGGAGGAGTCAAGTTGTGTTTGTGCAGAAGCAATTACAAGCTCTTGTCCAGTTGGTCAAACTAACTTAAATGACTCAAAACAAAATGACGAAGTTGTGGAGAAATCGAGCAGTAGCGGCGAATCGGTTTTAAAAAGAAAACCTGGTAGACCAAAGAAAATAGGTCCTCAAGTTGTTAAGCAGGTTAAGAGACCTATTGGCCGGCCTCCAAAACCAAAAATAGACATGACTGAAAGCACAAAACCCAGGCCTGCACTTAGCAGTGATGGTAAAAGTACCAAGTCTGATGCAGCAGTAATGGAAGAAGTTAACAGCAACAAAAATATTACTGTGACAGTTGTTTTTGGAAGGTCAAGAAGAACTAAGAGACATGTTTCTGTAGGTAATCTAAATGTAATCAGCATTCTGCCCACACAACATGTTGGTCCTAATTTTGCCAATGACCACAGCAAAGCAAGGCACAATGCAGAAACTGAAAATGCTTTGACTGAAATAGTAAAAGCCTTACAGAATTCTTCTACTGAAAACGAGGTCTCTGGTTATGACTATGTCAGACCTATCAAAAGTAACCTGGCTTCACCACATCCTTGCAGCAATATTATACGGCCAATTAAGAAACCGTTAACCACCATTCGAAAACCTGGTAGGCCAGCAAAAGTAAAAATCTCCGGCATATCAGTGACCGTTAATAGACTTTCATCTCAGGAAAGAAAAGTGAGTATTAGCAACTGTTTGCCTCCTTTACAACAGCAGAATGTGTTAGAAAAAAACATACCACAGGAGAGAAAAAATCAACTGTGCAATACCATGGGTCAAGGAACGAGCATGCAAAAAGATCCTAGAGAGGATGGATCAAACAATGTTATTACAACAGTGTCAAGAAGACATGACATTCCATTGAGACATTCTGCTAGAGACAGAAAACCATCACTGCATTTTTTACATTCGTTAGCATCTTCTAGTGCATTTACTTGTAGAAGTGCCTTACTACATAAATCTTACAAACTCCATTTGAAAAAAGCTAAAGATCGAAAGGAAAAACGTAGGCAATCAAATCAGAGCACAGCATCCAAAGATACCTCAGAATTAAGACATTCAGGAAATGCAAAAAAGGATGTTAAGGATGGTGAATTTGGGCCCATTAATGAAGTATCATCAGATCCCATTTTTTCATCTAATCCCTCTCTCAGGTGGTGGGCTACTTCCACTTCAAGTGACACTTTGTTGGAAGAACTGAATAATAGATTTGAACAGATAACTAATACCTGGTTGCGAGTGGGGGGAAGTGAGTTTGATAAATGCGTATGTGAGAAAAGGGATCCCATTGAACAAGACTGTAATACCGAAATGTCAAACCCTTTAGACTCCTGCCTTGTAGAACTTGAAACATCACCTATAAAAATGCTTTTTCAGAAAAAGTGTGATATGAATGAACTCTGCACCTGGTTTATGCAAACTACAGAAACACAGTCTCTCTCTCTGGTGAGAAAGGCAAATGCTCGCAATCCTTTAGAAGTAGTTAGTACTAGAGAGATAAAGATGGAAACTAAACAATCTGATCTTAGTACTTGCCCTTTCAGAAAGCACTTTAAAAAGTTTGCACTATCTTCTCCTTCAAAACCAGCAGGGAAATTACAAATATTACATAACATGGTGAGGTCTCCAGTCTTAAGCATGAAAAGTAATTTTGCACTAGCCAGATTAAAAAGAAATGAATTTAAGAAGTTACAGCGTGATAGGTGGGGACAAATGAAAAAACTCTATAATCAGGCTCCCGGAGGCTGGAAATCAAAAAAGAAAAATTTGCAGTTCTTTTGCCAAAGCCAGTTGTTTAAAAGTACAAGTGGGGAAACCAATGATGAAATGCCCAAGCTCCAGGAAAAAAACACGTTAGAAATCCAGCCCACTCAGACTTTGGTAGACTCTCAGAGTAGCCTCTTGCCAGCTGAAAGTGAAGCCAGAGATGCATTTGTTCAACAGATGATGGGATCTTCTGACTTTAACCCACATCCTGGTTTAGCAAATATACTTAAGTCGCATGCAGAGACAAATGGAACAATTTGTTGCCAGCAAAGTGTTAGAAAAGAACAAAGCCAAGATAAACTGTTTCAAAATACTTGGAAAGCCAAAACCTTTAAAGATTGTAGGATATTTCTGAGAAAAATCAACCATATTGAGCAGCACAATTCATTTAAGTTAAATAATGTCATTTATTCTCCTGAAGCTGTTGAAAGTAAAAGCAATCAGGCCTATATGGAAGAAAAAAGACATCCTCTTTTAAGGTCCCATTCTACTAAGCAAAATGCATTAAAGCAACAAGAAAATGAAATGGAAACATCTAAAGGATCTAATTCTTCTAAAGTGACTGAAGGGCTGGATCACCAGTTTCACAGCAGAAAATTAAGTAGTGGTGTAAACCATGATGATAATCCTGCTGGTAGTTCTGAAGTTGTTATCAGAATAAACAAAAGAAAAAGTCCACAATGGGAGACCACTGATACAAATGTAAGAAAAAGGCATAAGAGACAATCATGCAGTAGTGGACAAATGGCAACTTATTACCCAAAGTATCAAGTAGGTAAGTTCCTGTTCCCCCCTTCATCTTAAAATTGCAATCTTAAAGAACTGGAGCAGTCAAACAATTAAGCACTTTGGATTTTTTTTTATTGCATGATATTCATTTTAATTTCACAGAAGTCATGAAATTAAACATTGTATAGCATCAGAATAACACAGAAAGTGCAATTTTAAAATGTATATAATATTTTACAGGACTCTTTCGGCTACAATAGGTATGTCGCATTGTATTACAGCTATAAGACACCAAGATAAAAGAAAAAGAGCTAACTAATATAGTTCAGACAGACAAATCCAGTTCTGACATATCTGAAGTCAGTTGCAACTAGTTATTGATTTCAAAATGAACAGAATTTCATTCCACTGTGTAGTTTCTCATATTATGAGGAAGGATAAATTATAAAATGAAGCAGAAATTCAGTGTATTAACATACAGTTGTTTAAAAAAAAATGCCATTGAATGATTTCTAATATAAACGTGTAGTGGCTTTAGAATTATACGGTAAAAAATAGTTCTATGTACTTCTGAGAAGTATTCATGCAGAGATCCGTTTTAGTATCCTTTCAATGCCAAATGAAATCTGCTGACTAAAGGGTTTGCGCATTGAATCCTTACAGAGCAATTTAAAATGCAAAATTGTTCTAGACAACTACAATATACAGTTACTATGCTAAATGCATTGGCTTGGAATCTTTTTAGGCTAGTGTGAAATTAAATCCATTTTTAAAGCTAGATATTTATAATACATTGTAAAACAACTGTGATTGCAGAAGGGCCATTATATTACTTACAAAGAGGGTACACATGTGAAATTGTTTCTTCTGATGGGTGAAGAGATCTCCTTAAACAGAAATCTCAACTTGTTCCAATAAACTATGATGTGAAATACCAAGTAAAAAAAAGTTTTGCAATAGGAACTTAATTACTGCAGAAGCATTTGTTTGTAGAAACAATATTGTATTAACTAATCTAATTATATTGCCCGAAGAATAAAAAAAAACTATTCAAAATACCAGAGCAGAATCTTATGTCACCCCTTGTATTCTATATTGTAGAAAACTATCCCTGATAATAAACTGAAGAGTTAATTTAAGTTGTAATATAAGCAATATTATGGCTCTTGTTTACTTTATTTCTTTTGTGCTTTATGTGATATACAAAATTCTTCATATTAAGCTCATTCAGTGTAACCCTGCTTTTCCAAAGTACAGCATTTTTTATCTTTAGACTATTATTTTGTATTTTAATTCAATGATTTGGGACCAAACTCAACATAAAAAAACTTGGGTTTTTTGACACAAGATTGCTGTAAAAAAGCCAGAACTAGGAAAGGAAAGGGTAACATCTATCTGTTTCTTTTTTTGCGAATGAAGAAAGAGCTCTCTCATACTTTTATTTCATAATTTTGACTGTAGTTGAGAAAATTTTGCATTCGAATTATATTTATCTTTAAACTTTTTGTTGCTATGGCAATGTAAGCCCTATTGCTGTGATGTGGTCTCATGTTAGTTTTAATTGGGACTCAATTTTACTTACCTGATAACTTTCCTCCTGTAGTTTTGGATCTTTAGGAAGTCTGATAACTATTTTGATATTTTACATTTTTTCATTTACAGTTTTTTTTATTTTCCCTTTTACTCATAGTTTCTCATACCAATCGTTGTCTTTAGAAAGGATATGATGGAAAGTTCATTGATAAAGGAAATGTTAAAAGACAAAGGATTACGATTCTGGAATTTTCTCCACACTTGTAACCCCAAATCTTTTTTAGGGGTACTGTTGCAGTGTCAGGGGATTGTCTGATATAGAAAAGGATGTCTTGTTTTGGCATGTTGATTCAACATTATGTACTATCTGCCAAGGAAATCATATAAATGGTTTCAGTCTGGAGTATAGCTGCTGGCTAAAAAGAAGGAACATGATTTCTAGCTGTGCATGCGTGTGTTTTCAAACATAATTCCTGTGTCTGGGAGTTTAATGCACATGAAAACATCATTATTCATTCGTATGTTCTTTGGACTGTATTTTTGTTGATGTGGTATCATAAATTATATCATCATTCTGTTGTCATGTGTGAAATGTTCTTATATACACATTTATGGTCAATATTTAAAGTTTTTCTTCCAAGTTTTACTGATCTTGGTTTCTTACCGAATATTCTTGAGAGAGGTGTTGTGATGCTGTTATATTGTGAAGCATTGGGGCAGGTAGGCAGAATGGTGTTATCAAATTTTTATGTATACTCAATTTTTGTTAGAATGTGCGGGTGGGAATAAAGCAATTGAGTTCTTACAGCTCACGGTACTATCAAGCAGGCAGAACTTAGACGTGTACTCATTGTAGCCACAGAAGAGAGTTAATCACTTTTTCAAATTGCCTGTTTTATTCAAGATCAGGAGGACGATAGATGTATTGGTCCATATGCTGTTTGCTACTACTTGACTTCTGAGCTCTTGCTTCAACAATGTGTTTGATGTGTTGAGGGGCAGTTCCCTTCTACTGTAAATCTATGTTCTGACCATTACCATTTTAATTTCTTTAGCAACACTGAAACATTATTACTATCTGTGGTGGCAAAGAAAATTACGTAAGCATGTTTTTAGGAAAGCATTTAAGTTTTCTTTCCACGAGAGTGGTTCAGTGTGTTTCCTTATAACACTGAAGACCACATACAAGTGCTTTGGACTTGGCCAAACTAGATCCAAAAAGGCTTCAAGAGAGCCAAGCTAAAATAAGAGAAACCATTATCCAACAATAAAATGGGGCACTATAGAAGACTCCATTTTAGGAACTTACAATGTACTGAATCTTTAAAAAATCTGCTTCAGAGAGGGTGTGGATTTATCACAGATGCAAAGGAGGCTGTGGACCTACAACAGCAGCAGGCAGCACTGTGTGCTGTGATGATATTACATACATATTTACTTACCCTTTGTATCAGGGTGGGTATTCACATAGAAAAGCTTTTAAAAATCAATTCCAATCACATGAAGCTAGGATATTTTCTTGATCTAAAATGAACTTCTTCATTTTCTCACTTATAATTTGACTTTTCATCAAGCAGTTTAGAAGAATAAACGTTGTATTTGTTGGCAGAGAATATAAATTTTCAATTTTAATTTTTTAACAGCATTTGAATGCTATTAAAATGCTATCTTAATGAGATCAAGTTAGTACAGTACTTAAAATGAAAATTTGCTAATCATCGAATGGTTTGGATTGGAAGGGACCTCAAAGATCACCTAGTTCCAACCCCCCTGCCATGGGCAGGGATACCTCCCACTAGACCAGGTTGCTCAAAGCCCCATCCAGCCTGGCCTTGAACACTTCCAGGGAGGGGGCAGCCACAATTTCCTTAGGCAACCTGTTCCAGTGCCTCACTACCTTCAGGGTGAAGAACTTCTTCCTTGTATCTAATCTAAACTTGCCCTCTCCCAGCTTCCAACCATTACCCCTCGTCTTATCACTGCAGGTCCTTGTAAAAAGCCCCTCCCCACCTTTCCTGCAGGCCCCCTTCAGGTACTGGAAGGCCACTACAAGGTCTCCCTAGAGCCTTTTCTTCTCCAGGCTGAACAACCCCAACTCTCTCAGCCTGTCCTCATAGCAGAGGTGCTCCAGCCCCCTGATCATCTTGGTGTCCCTCCTCTGGACCCACTCGAGCAGGTCCCTGTCTTTCTTGTGCTGGGGACCCCAGAGCTGGACGCAGCACTGCAGGTGGAGTCTCACCAGAGCAGAGTAGAGAGGGAGAATCACCTCCCTCAACCTGCTGGCTGCGCTTCTCTTGATGCAGCCCAGGATATGGTTGGCTTTTTGGGCTGCGAGTGCACACTGTTGGCTCATGTTCATAATATTTGTAATCGTTTCAAAGTTGATTACAAGAGTTAGGAATCTAACTATGAAAACTTGGTATTTTTATGAGGCTAATTGGTTCCTTCATTGTGCACGTGAAGTAATATCTATCTTACTATGACAACAGGCAAAACTTCTTAAACTTGGCTTCCGTTACTATACATTTTCTTTAAATTGGAGGGAAAATTTTGTGAACTCTTTTTAAATGTCTGTATTAGTATGGCATTAATATTGCAGTGTTGTTGCTTATTTGTCTTAGTGCAATCTGGTAGCATAACAGCTACACAATATGAATTGCTTTCCTACTTCTGTGGAAGACATTAATCTCACACCAATGATCTAGTGACAAAAATTACTGGTTTAGCAACTCTCTTCAGCTTTGTCTTTCATGAAGGAGCACATTCTGCACTCCCAATGGGGAACAAATGTAAAATATTAGGTTAGGTAAATGCAAAAGAGACATAGTGTAACAGTCATTAGATCTGTTGATTTTGAGAAATCCTTTTCAACAGCCATGTCTTAGCTTTTTCAAAAGGCTTTTCATCAGAAGGTTGCTTGGCTTCAGAATAAGTTTCTCCTGTGATGCAGAGTAAGCAGACAGACATTTTCATAACTGTAATTCCAAGACAGGAAGTTACTTTTTCACAGCCAGCCATAAAACAAAGTAAGAAAATTAATAGAAAATGTAGGAACAATATTGAAATGAATGACTGTTCTCAGTAAGTGGACCATTTTTAATGCAGAAATAGAGAAGCGGAAAGGCAGACTTGATATATAGTTGACTGTACATGTATAATAAATCTTGACTCATTTAATGAACTTAATGGTCTCTGCCTCATTCCCCTGAATGCAACAACAGCAGCGCTAATACCACAGTCTAACACTCCATCTTGTTTTACACTCTGGAATTCCGCTTCCCGAATGCAATTATGTAGTCTTTCCTTCCCTTGTCTTTTTCTCCCATCATGGGATCTAGTGTGAGGTGTGTAAATTTTGGGTGCTGTTTTGTTTTAAACTGGTCAGTTACATATTGCCTTAGGGTATGCTGTTCCTCATGGTTTTTTCAGGGTTCTGAGCTAAGGATTTTTACTTTTGCTTATTTGAAGAGTAGACTTCTGTCAAAGGACTCAACTCTGAAGTCTTTCATTTCC